TTTATTTTTGGGGGGGACAGAGAGAGACAGAGCATGAACGGGGGAGGGGCAGAGAGAGAGGGAGACACAGAATCGGAAACCGGCTCCAGGCTCCGAGCCATCGGCCCAGAGCCCGACGCGGGGCTCGAACTCACGGACCGCGAGATCGTGACCTGGCTGAAGTCGGACGCTTAACCGACGGCGCCACCCAGGCGCCCCTAGACTGTAAGCTTCTTAAAAGCAGGGGGTTATCATATTCATTTCTGCTTTCCCAGCCCACCCAGCAAGGGTTCAGTCAATATCTCTCAGATAAATAGAGGCGAACACCAAGGTCAGGGGCAAGAGCAGACCACTGTTCTTCATAGATTGTTTTATTAATGGACCAGATCAGTCTTATGTTGAGGAGTTAATAAAAATCTTTCCTCGACCCCCTGGCTTACTTCATTCATTCTTTCAACATACATCTAATGGGCCCTTCCTAGGTATAGAGCACAGTGGTAGACATTAAAGAAACAGAAATCAGAGCTCACAAGCCCTTGGAGCCTATAACCTGGTAGACGAGACAGATGAGTCAATAAATCTTTGTAATACAATGTCTCAGAGTAAAGGGTATTGGTATCAGGAATTCTTAGGTAAGTAATGAAGGCAGGCAAATTAGGACTTGCACAACTTCTGTAGTTAGAGAAAAGACCCTATAAAGATAGCCAGGGACCATCTTTAATCTAAGAGAACAACAGCAAACAATCTTCCCCTCTCCTGCTGCAGCAGACAGCTAGACTGAAAGGAGAATGGATGAGAAACTCTACCCTGGAGCATTGTCTAAGCCAATAAGCCATAGAAAAACCTCACTTCAGTTCCAAATCCCAGAAGGTGTGGGTTCAAAGCCAGACTCCGCTACTCATTATCTGTACAGTTAGGCAAACCTCTTTTAACATCCAAGTCTTCAGTGTCTTTGTCTATAAGATGAGACAAAAATAACAAACTGACCCAGTTGTTACGTGAATTAAGTGAAACAAATGTGCAAAGCACATCCTATAGTGGTCAAGACTCCATAAATGTAATGAGAATGAGTTCTGGAAGTACCATACCTGGGGTTGAATTCCAGCTCTGTTACAGTGCCCCCTTGGGAAGCTACTAGACCTCACTAATCCTCAGTTCCTGCGTCGGTAAAATAGGAAAATCATCACCTACTTCCTATACAATTCATGAGATGGGCATAAAAAGTGCTTAGCATATCTCTGATGTGTAAATTAGGGTAGCTATCCTATGACTCTGGTCTACAGGGTTTCTCTCCCTATTCCCCTCTGTTCTTTTTCTACCTTCTTGCCCAGGACTCCTAAAAATGCTCTTTTTTTTTTTTTTTTTTTTTGTAACATACCGAACAAAATCTCCCATTTTGTCCACTTTTAGGTGTGCAGTTCAGCGGCATTAAACATATTCCCAATGGCGTATGACCATCACCACCAACCATCTCCAGACATTTTTCATCTTCCCCAAGTGAAATTCTTATTAATTAAGAACTACGCACCCCACCTCTCTTACCATCCCTGGCAACCATTCTTCTCTCTGTCTCTATAAATGTGACTATTCGAAGGACCCCACACAAGTGGAATCATACGGTATTTGTTGTTTCCTGACTTGATCATTTCACTTAGTGTAATGTCTTCAGGGTTCATCCTAGGTCTCATGGTGGTAGCATAGGTCAAAATTTCAGTCTCTGACCACTTCTTTCTAAGCTCGTTTGTCATTTACACCTCCAATTTAGGTCGCTCTCTTCCCAAATGGAAATATGGAGACATGATAATACCCAAGACCGTGACCGCACACCAAAGAAACACAAAATGGTTTTTTCCTGATTACAAAGGTAATGCAGTCTTCCGTACAGAACGTTCGGTGATAGCTCCAAATTCTTCTGAAGGCCACATGGCCACCCATTGCCCCTTCGGGGAGAGATGTGTTTCATGCAGGAAATAGCTTTGTTAAGCTTTGCATCCCATGGGGTGAGGCAGAGCTGAAGCAACAGACAGCCTCTCACCAACATTTACTCCAAGCAACATCACTGCCTAGCCATAAATCTACATTCACCCATAAATCTAAAATCTACCTTCCTTTCTCTAAATCCAAAGTTGAAAATACCCTTCTGCTCTTCTCACTTGGGTCATAAATCTTTTCTTAATCCTACTCATTAAAAAAAAAAGTATTGTTGTGGGTTTGAGGCGACTCCCTCATGCTAGTAATGTTGACCAGTCCTACACATCCTTCCCAACCCCCAACCCCTCCCAGGCTCTTGCCAGTTGCCCAATCCCTGGCTCAGCTTCAGGAAGCTCACGACAGCCCGGGCAGTGGAGAGGTGCCGACCCTGCCGTGGCCCCAGTTGCTACCATCAAAAAGATCTGCACTGGTTTTGGCAACAGAAACAACCCAAACATCTAACATGAGGATTATCAGTTTAATCATAGCATGTGCATAAGACAGAATAGAGTGCAAGTCATTAAAATCATGCTAAAAGACAATAAGACACGGAAAAGTGTTTAGAATAATCCCATAGTGTGTGTGTGTGTGTGTCCCTTAACCACAGAATTACTTAAGTGTGGAATTACTGGGACCTTTCTTCTTTCTGGATTTGTCTGCATTTTCTACAGAGAGTACTATTATTTTGTATATTGGACTCCTAGGGCCGCCCTAACAAGTTGCCACAAATATGGTGGCTTACAACAACAGAGATCTATTCTCTCCCAGTTCTGGAGACCAGAAGCCTGCAATCAGGCATCAGTGGGGCCGTGCTCCCTCCAAAGGCTCTGGGGGGGGTTCCATCTGGAGGCTCTCCCAGCTTCGGGGGCTGCCAGTGTTCCTTGGCTTGAGACCACAACACCCCTCTCTCCTCCTGTCTCCACATCACCTTCTTCTCTTCTGTGCACCTGTCTCCAGGTGGCCTCTGCCTCTCTCTGATAAAGCGTCAATGTGATCCTTGCACCTAAGACCCACCTGGACAATCCAGAACAGGTTCCTCCTCTCAAGATCCTTAACTTAGTCATGTCTTATTCACTCCCAAACATACAATGTAACAGTCACAGATTCTGGGAACTGGAACATAGACATGTCTTTGCAGGGGCTACCTTTCCACCATTGTACTTCATAATCAACAAGAAGAAATCTAACGTTTTCCTTTTAGATACTCAATAGTCTGTGTGTTATCTTAGTCCAGTGCCCCGTGCCTGGCTCATGATGGACACAAAGTAAACATTTGTTGAGGGGATGAAGAAACTGCCCAGAGAAGGTACTTTGTTCAGGACAAGAAACTAGAGATGACTTTTTTTCCTTTTTTATTTTTCTTCATTATTTTGTTTTAAGTTTGTTTATTTATTTTGAGATAGTGAGAGCACGAGAAGGGAAGGGGCAGAGAGAGAGGGAGAGAGAGAATCCCAAGCAGGCTCCATGCTGTCAGTGCAGAGCCCAACATGGGACTCAATCCCAGGAGCCCTGAGATCCTGACCTGAGCTGAAACCAAGAGCCAGACACTTAACCTACCGAGCCACCCAAGTGCCCCATTTCTTGATTATTTTTTTGTAATGACAGTTCTACAGTTTTCAGATGTCATTAAAAGGTATTCCCCTCTCTTTTGCCCTTACTCAGATAGTTGTCCCTCTAAAGCTAGGATGTTAAAAGCTTCCCGTGGCCCAGCGTTATAGTTCAGGAAGGGAGGCCAGTTTTCCTGGCTTAGGCTCCATCCCGAAGAGGCCGAGTGAGCAAAGGGTGTCCCGCAGCATTTTCTTTTCTGCATTCACCACAAGGCAAAGTGAAGCCAGAGACTGATACTTTAAGAAGGGTGTCTCCTCTCATTTTGCCCGTCTTTCCTCTGGCACGCAGAACATTCACAGGAAGCACACACAGAGGCTGAGCAACCTGAGAATCTTCCACAAGAGAATCCCTTCAGTCCTACGCTCACGGAAGCCCATGTGAGCTGATAACCCTGACCTTCTGCAAGGCCCAGTTCAGGAAAAGCAAATAGGAGTGCCCGTGCTCTGCCTGCCACCCACACATACACACACACATGGAAGACACTGCTGACAGAGTGCGACCCTCCTTCCACACAGTATCAGGCCCCTTCCCACAGTTCCGCAGGTGGAAACAGCCATCGGTCCAATTTGGCGTGGGACATTAAAGTTGCTTCCCATGTCTCATCTAGCCTTTGTGGGAGAATATATTTTCATTAGCAGCAAACATTTATCGAGCCCCCAAGGTATACAAGGGTTCACCGTCTAGGTCTTGGGCCCAGGGAAGTATGAAA